CCTGAATCACCATCTGCAACGCCAACCCACTACTAGCATGCCAGCTGATATGGCAATGAACAAGCCAAACCCCCGGATTGTCCGGCCGAAAAGCAACAGCTACATACCCCCCACCCCCCGGAACAACCACCGTATCCCTCCTAGGCGGGTTCTCATAATTCCACGTCCCCGGGCTCGTCACAGGATCGAACCGTTCGTTTGACTGCCCCAAGATGACAACATCTGTCCCGTGCCAGTGCATCGGGTGCGCACCCCTATTGGGGACGATCTGTGACCCTAGTTGGGAGGGGTGAGTCCCTGGGAGGAGGGAGGAGTCAATGATCATGTAGATGAACCCTTCGCGACGGTAGGGGTAGTAGACGATGTTGTAGCTTGGGTTTGCGGCCGCGCCGGTGAGGTTGAGGAGGGTTGGGTTGGAGAAGTCGAGCCAGAAGGGGGAGTGCATCGACTTGCCGATTTGGTGTTCTATGTTGGGGTCTAAGCGTAAGAGCCAGTGGGAGTAGTTGCCTGACTGGCCTAGGGTTTGGTCGGGGACGGTCTGGCGCGCGTTGTAGAAGGTGGAGAGAGACAAAGGGTTGAGGGGCTCACGGGCGATGGTCCAGGGGACTACGGGGACCATGGAGGATTGGGCGTCTAGGCAGGAGAAGTCGGTGGTGGTTGAGAGGCTGGTGGGGAGGGCGAGGGAGCGGAGGGACGGGTAGCTGATGATGCCTACGCGGGTGTCCAGGGGGTAGGTCGTGTTGGCGCCGGCGGTCGAGTTGAACACTCCCTTTTTGAAGGCGTTGCAGCCGTCGGCGGGTTGGGCGCGGAGCCAGTAGTTGCCTGTGCGATCTCTTTGGCCGTCGACGATGACGTCGAAGCGTTGGCCTACGGCAATGACCAAGCGGTCGGTGGTGTAGGGCCGGATAGGAACAAGATCGTTGGCGATGACGGTGAACTCGTGGTCGTCGATGGAGACGACAAAGGTGGCGCCGGATCCGCTGTTGATGAGACGGAGACGGTGTTTCTCGCCAGGGGTGAACCGTGTCACGCTGTAGGCTTCAACGTCTCTTGGTGAGTTTCCCGGTCCACCAACTGCATTCATGCCTGCCTTTCCGTTCAGGAGGAACGTGTCCATCTTGACGTTTGCCTTTGCAATTTCGTTGGTCTTTTCTTGATGGAACTCGCTGAAGGCACTGTCACGCACCCAGTCAGACACCATCAACGTCTGCTCAGCCTCGACATCATAGTTGGCACTGGCCGGGCCATGGATGACAAGAGGACCGCAGAGACCGTCGCTGTATTGAAGTGAATAATGGCTGTGGTACCACGTCGACCCGTATTGGAGCACCCTGAACTTGTACTGGAAGGTGTGGCCTCGGGCAATGGGACACTGAGTGACGGCAACCCCGTCCATGTCGTTGGTGAACAGTTGTCGGATTCCGTGCCAGTGGATCTGGGTGCCCATGTTGGGAAGGGAGTTCTTGACAGTGATGACGAGTTCATCACCCCAGCATGCCTCCAGACGAGGTCCTGGGTAGGTGCCGTTGAACAACAATGCTTGTTTCGGGAAGCCATCTGGGTAGATCACTCCAGTCGCAACATCAATAGTGTACTATCAAAGTTAGTAAGATTCATGTCAACGATCAGGGGTGACCGTACGTATCGCGAGACGCCAGTGGGCGCAGCAACCTCATCTGCGTGTACTCATGTCAGCGTCTGTTTTCGTCTCACAAAATCACACCCGGGCATAATACACACAGTTGGTGTGAATATCATAACCGTAAATTCTCCCCTCACTGTCCGGCCTCTTCATCCTCAACCAACACGTCCGAGAGTTTGCCCTGTTGCATGACTCCCAAATGTCAGGGTCAAGCTGTGGATAGTGACATCGAAAGTTGCCCGGTGCGCCCTCAGGATGGAACGTCAATCCACTGTGTGACGCCTCATCACGACTGTGAAGCTTGTGATGCCAGCTGCTGGTATATCCCCCATGGTCAATAGGGTCAGCCTCGGCAGGATCCCAATCGAACCCCCCAGCAGGCGTCTCGAGTTTGGCTTCGGAGAAGGGGTCCGGATTTCCGTACACTCGCGCTATGACGGCGGCGAGCAGCACATCTTGAAGTCTCATATTGGGGTCGAAGTCGACAATAATCACTCCGTGGTGAAAGGAGGGGAGGGGCTCTTGGAGGTGGGCTGCCTGCTGGAGCTGGTCCTTATCAACCACGGCAGTGGTCAGTGGGATATCAGAGAGGTCATTCACGCCCGGCATCTCCAATCCGGCTCACGGGGCCTGACAGCTCGGAGGAGTTGTCGTCCGGGCCGATAGTAACTGACGCATGCGGCATTGGTCAGGGTTCTCGTATTGGGTCAAATGTGGGATCCAGCAGAGCGGGCTGGATGTTGTGATGCTGCAGTAAACAAAACGACTAGTCGACGGTCTAAAGCCACCGGAATACGATGTTGCACGACATGGAGTAGCATGTTTGACGTGTAGGTAGATGGACTGATATTGACATTCTGGCACAGTGGTGATGACATTTGGCCATCTCTCTCTGCTGTCAATGGCCTCCCCCCCTGTGGTCGAGGTCTGTCTGGTTGATGTTGTGGAATGGGGTCGGGACCTTTTCCGGCTGTGGCAACTCCATGCAGTAGCAGCTGCAAACGTGGGCTTTTTTTCTCGCACCGTGCGCACAAATGTCTCAGAGGGGATGTTGACAGTCGTGCTGATGTCCTTGCACTGTCGGCTGCCCACGGCTCTCGTTGTGTCGCGACTGGCATTTGATCTTCCTATTCCTGTCAAAAATTCGGCAACGGCACGACCCATTCGGGATCAAAAGCTCAGGGGTGTATATTTGAGGACAAAGAACCGCCATTCTAGAGTTCAACAGCTTTCTTTGTTTCCTATCTGTTTCAATTTCTGGTTTCGCAACATTTTGCTTGGTATCAGCACATATCGGGAGCTCATCGCTGCGGACAGCGCTGGGCAGACCATCGTCCGACGGCATTCTCCGCATCCTTAATACAGGGGTCTCGGAATCATTGACGGTTCCCTTTGGGGCTTGGTAGTGAGTAGCCACCTCGGCTGAACGGCACATCACCCCCACAATGTTTACTTGGGCAAGTAAACAACGAAGCCCCTTTTGCCATCAAAGGGCAACCATCAACACTGGACCTGCCCGCACCTGGTGGCTCACCATATAATCAGCTTACCTGAGTGCACCTCGATACATGACGATCGTGGCGCCATTTACATCCCCGGTGGCTTTCCTCCTCACCTCAACATTCCGTCCGAATATGTCCGCCTGCACGAGACAACCCAATTCTACACAAATCAGCCGCGAGATACACTCCCGAGTTCTGGAACTACATCTGCAGCACGCTTACACTAACAAATCACATATACCCTATGCAAGGGTCCCTTTTCCCCTCGGGTAATAACCCCGTGATTACCACTCTACAATATCTCCCCCCCTCAAAAGCCCTTGCTGCCCCAACATCCCGGGAACTGTCCCACCCTCCCCCTCGCCAAGAGCAATAACCGCCGCCTAATCTATTTGCCCTCCCAAGTACCTACTACGACTCCAACTTTTAAACCAACAAAAATGAAACCACGGTCGGTGGAAACATAACAGGCAGGTAACTCCGCTGCCGCCTTGTGAGGGGAATAATAAACGAACCTGCACTTTACCCAAAGGCCAAATAATGCACCCGGGTTACTTTCCAACAGATGTAAGGTTGCACAAGTTGGGGCAACTGACGATCTCGGCCCCTCAGTATCCGGGATTATGTCTTTTGAATAGCCAACCAAACAAGCATCCATGGTCCATACATACAGCGATATCACTTCGCCCGCGCATAGGTATTGCCGGTCGGTGCAAGCTGCGGTTGGTGACATACTACCGGCACCAAAAACACGTGTGAAGAAGAAAAAGAACCCGAGCCGAAGGGACGGCTTCGCTTGGAGAGTCCGAGGTGGTGTACAGCAGCTCGATCGATCCAACGGCACGCAGGCCATGAGATGACGGGACACGAGCTCAAAAAGCTCGAGTGGCCCGGCCTGTAGTTCACGATCCTCGCTGTCCAAGGGTCTCGAGACAAGTCCATCATCACTCACAATGCGTTACCGTTTGTTATCCGCCTTGATCATCTCGGCAGTCGCCGTGATAGAGGCTGCCCCGGCCACCGCTACCGCCGAATATGACTACATCGTCGTCGGGAGCGGTCCCGGCGGTGGTCCCCTCGCCGCCGATCTCGCCCGGGCCGGGTACTCCACACTGTTGATCGAAGCCGGCGGTGACGAGGGCGACAACCCGACCTACGCCGAGATCGCCTGGTTCAACGAGGCGGCCAACGACGAAGCCACCCGTTGGGATTTCTGGGTCAAGCACTACGACGATCCCGAGGAAGACCGCAAGTTCAAGCACACCACCTGGGACACGGGCGACGGCACCTTTTACGTCGGCCTCGACCCCCCAGAGGGAGCCAAGTACCTCGGCATCCAATACCCACGCGCTGCTGTTTTGGGTGGTTGCGCCATGCACAACGCTGCCGTCTGCACCCTCCCGGCAGACGACGACTGGAACATCATCGTTAACAAGACCGGCGACGCCAGCTGGTCGGCGAGCAACATGCGCAAGTACCTCAAAAAGATCGAGCGCAACCAGTACCTCCCCCCCGGAGACCCCAACAGAGGATACGACGGCTGGCTCGCGACCTCGGTTGGCCCAACAGACTGGGCGCGCAACAGCTCCAACCCCGCGACCACCATCCTCAAGAAACTCGCCGCCCTCACCGGCCAAGACGAAACCCGCGCTGCTGACCTCCTGGGAACCGACATCCTGACCGAGATCCCCAACCTCGACGAGACCTCCTCCCTCTACAACCTCGCCCAACACGCCGACAGCACCGGCAAGCGCAACTCCCCCAACAACTACGTCCGCGCCACCCTCGCCGACCCAGCCAAGTACCCCCTGACTCTCAAACTCCACACCCTCGTCACCCGCGTCCTCTTCGACGAATCCACCGTCGGCGTCTCGGGCGTCACCCCCCGTGCCATCGGCGTCGAAATAATGCAGGGCCAATCCCTCTACAAAGCAGACCCCAAACACAACGGCCAAACCGCCCCCAAATCCCAAATCCTCGCCGCCCGCGAGGTCATCATCTCCGGCGGCGCCTTCAACTCCCCCCAGCTCCTCAAACTCTCCGGCATCGGCCCCAGAGACGAGCTCGCCAAGTTCAACATCCCCCTCGTCAAGCACCTGCCCGGAGTGGGCGAAAACCTAGGCGACAACTACGAGGGTTCCCTCCTAGCCATGGGGCAAACACCCGTCAATTCAGGCCTCATCACGGCCGTTTTCCGGACCCCCAACGCGCCCGACGCGAGACGCAACATCTTCACCTGGTGCGGCGCCTTCTCCTTCGAGGGCTTCTGGCCCGGCTTCCCCACCTGGCACGGCGCCGAGCAGTACACCTGTGCCCTGGTCCACATGCAGCCCAAATCCCAAGCCGGATCCGTCACTCTCCGGTCTGCCGACCCGCAGGACGTGCCCGAGATCAACTTCCGGTTTTTCAAGAATCAGGGTGATCAAGACCTGGAGGAGCTGGTTGCGGGGGCGAATATCCTGCGGGAGGCGATCAACTCCGTGCCGGAGCCGGTCGCGCCGTTTGTGGAGAGGCATCCTTGTGAGGGGGACAGGCGGGAGTCGGGGGATTGTGGGGAGGAGGTTCAAAAGGAGTACTTCAAGAGCCAGGCGTACAGCCATCACGCCACGAGCACGTGCGCGATTGGGGGGGAGGATGAGGAGATGGCTGTGTTAGATAGCAAGTTTAGGGTTCATGGGGTGAGGGGGCTGAGGGTGGTGGATGCGAGCGCTTTTCCTGTTGTTCCGGGGGCGTTTCCGAGTTGCCCGACTATGATGATTAGTGTCAAGGCGGCGGAGGATATTGTTGCGGAGAGGAAGGCGGAGGAAGCTGCGGCTGCGAGGATGTGAGGAGGGCCAAGAATGACGGGTGGAACGAGAAATGGAATATGATTATGATGTTGTAGCGGTTAGGTATATACAAAGAAATCCGGTAAAGTGCGTGTTTTGTTACATGGAAGAAATGGATCATTGCTCGTTCTTGATGGTTGTGATTGCCTCCTCGGCACTGTCTGTGCCCTTTTGTCGTTGCTCGCGCTTGATCCTTGCTACTCTTTCTTGGTGGTTCTTCCGCATGTCTTCCATGTTGGCGATTCTCTCGCCGTACGATCTTGGTGGTGTGGTGGACAGGCATGATGGCATGTCGTCGATGGATTGGCTTGGACCTGCTGGGATGCCCCCGAGTCAGCTTCATCACTTGGTGAAAAGAAACCACGTTAGCGCCATCATGGTACCTTCAAGTTCAAGTGCGATAGAGGCCATGGTTGCGGTCGTGGTAAGTGGTGGTTGACGGTTTGGTTGAGATGGTTCAAGGTTGCGGTTGTTGCTGTTGCTGCGGCTGTTGCGGTGATGTTGATTTGAGAAGTTGATGACGTAGCGAGAGATGCGGTGAGCTGTCCTGAAGAACCGGAGCCAAGCGCTTTTTGACCCATCCAACCCCGTCGGTGTTTGCATGGCCCCCTAATTTAGCTAAACACTTGCGCTAACAACATGGGCTCACATGACCCTCGCCTCACGGAAATGAGTGGAGAGCGCAAGATGTTGTTATCTGCCCCTGATCTGGGGTCTTGGAGCCACGAATGCCAAGATCTAGGGATATCCATTTTGTGGCTAGAGCACCAGGGGGTGGCTGAGGCGAGCTATAGATCTATGTTTATCTTGCTCTAACTCCGTGTCTAAACCACCGATCACGGTTTCCTATATGCTGGATCTGCCAGTCTTCTTGATGGTTAGAGTCTATTGAGAGGGGTCTCTCCTCGAGAAAACCATAAAGCCATAGGAAACTGTGGCTTGGTGAAACGTTCATTGTCAGAGCTAAGAGACGGCTGACATTTTTTGGTCACATAAACCGAGAACAGCACTTGAAGTTGGCACTGCCTACAGGAAACTAGTCACAATGGAACCATGGTACAGGAACCACCGACCTTGTCGTCTATGCCCAAGTTATGCAGTTGGACGCGTTGTGTCTTGTACTAATGTGCGCCAAGCTTCCACAGTGTTGTTGTTGGTGCCATCAGGAGGGGATATGTTACACAAACTATGCATATATTGCAGTGCCTTGCAGTGCCGAAGAGCATATTATTCGCTGCGCCGCTCAATACACGCCAGAGAGGCGCCTGGTTCGGCCGAGGGCTGAGAGGCTTGAACAGCTCCTCGACATCTCACACAACCTGCAAGTCAAATATGAGGGCAACTCTTGGGCTGGTGATGACATTCTTCTCTCCCTATCGACAACGATGAAGCCCATCAACGAATTAACCATCTTGTCCCTGTTCCTCACTGCGGCGAGCGCAGCATCGATACTCTTCAAAGGTGGAACCGTCATTGCCTTCAACAAACAAACTCAAGGTCTACGCGTTCTCCGGGAAGGCTCAGTTCTCGTCGAGAATGACCGCATCGCTGGCGTATATGATTCAACACCAATCCGCATCCCTCCCCGGACCGAGATCGTCGACATCGCCGGCAAGATCATCACTCCAGGGTTCATCGACACCCACCGCCATGGATGGCAGACAGTCTTCAAGACCATGGCCTCCAACACCAGCCTCCTTGAGTTCTTTGGCCGCTACAGCTCGTTTGTAGCCCCCTTTTTCTGGAATGCCACAGACATTTATGACAGCCAGCTTGCCGGTCTGTACGAGGCACTGAACGCGGGCGTCACGACTTCGCTTGACCATGCCACTCACACCTGGTCCAAAGACGCTGCTGAGGCGGGTCTCCAGGCCTGTATCGACAGTGGGGCGAGAGTGTTCTGGGGATTCACCTTTGCCAATATTACTGGATTAATCACAGTTGCAGAGCTGTATCCAGTCTTCCGGAACATGGCTGCCAAACCAGGACTGAGAAGCTCCCCTACTACTCTGGGCATTGCCTACGACGGCTGGGGCCCGAACCCGAATGTTGGGGAAATCAACAAAATCATGGCGCTTGCGAGGTAGGAGACAGCCTGGAGGGTCTTTCAGTTTGGTTCGAGACAGCTAATGCATTTGGCAGGGAGCTCAACGTATCAGTCATCACAACCCACTCCCTCCAAGGACCCTGGGGCTGTATGTGTTCCCCTTTCCACACCCCCCCCCTTATTCCAACCTCACTAACCCCCCCCTGCCATGGAACCTCAGTCAGCAACTCCCCCGAAGACATCCACGCCCTAAACTACCTCAACATCTCCACCCCCATCGTCTTCTCACACGCCTCCTTCCTCACCCCCACCGGCGCCGACCTGCTACGGTCCACCAACCAGTACGTCTCCATCACCCCCGAGTCAGAGATGCACTACGGCCAAACCCACCCAGTTGCCTACTCCATCCAGGACCAAGCCTCTCTCGGCATCGACACTCACATCACATTCAGCACCGACATCCTCACCCAAGCCCGCATCTGGCTTCAACAGGCGCGGTACGAGCGTTATCTTAACGTGCTCGAGCAGGGAAAGCTACCAGCTAGCAATCCCATGTCGGTCGAGCAGGCATTCCTGCTCGCTACTAGGAACGGGGCCCTGGCGCTGAGACGTGATGATTTGGGTGGGATTTTTGTGGGTGGGAAGGCTGACTTGGTGGTGTGGGATGGGGATTCGCCGGGGATGCTGGGGTGGTCTGATCCTGTTGCTGCTGTGATTCTTCATGCGAGTGTGGGTGATATTGAGGCTGTGTTGGTGGATGGGAAGTGGATTAAGCGGGGGGGTGAGCTCGTCGCGCGGGGCTGGCCCGAGGCGAGGGCGAGGTTCTTAAGGACGGCGAAGAGGCTTCAGGGGGTGTGGAGGGATATGCCGTTGCCGGAGGCGCCGGCGGAGTTCAATGGGAGCCCGGTTGTGCACCCGGAGAGGGTGGATGTGGTTAGGGGGCCGGGGGATGGGTATGGGAATGTTTACATTTGAGTCATTACACTGAGTGGATGTACAGGTAGCCCTCAGACCCAATCAACGGCAATAAAACACGACGTGGGGTACAAGATGTGGGCTCGACGCCAATCCCAAATGCATCAGTGGAAGTGTCAAAGGCGGGTCTGAGTTGGGGAACTAAACTCGACGAAAGGAACAAAGACTGGTGTGAATGTGTGGGCAAGCAGACAATGCTTTCATTCCTGTGTAGGTAGCCACAGCTAAGGCAACTCTTCTTCTTCTTTAAAACTTTACTTCATCTGCCAGGAAAACATGAACTCATCCCTAAAGTAACTGGCTCACTACCTACCTTGGTATCCGTCGTTGCCATGATGTCCGAATTGGCCAAAAGGCTGGCGCATGAGAAACTAGAAAAGCGCGGCACCCCAGGTCTCGGTACAATTCCCGATTCACCTCCCGGACCAACTCGAGCACACAACGTGGAGATGCCTGAGTCGACCAACACTGTCCAAGATGGCATGGTAGATATCCAGACTCGCATGGCTATTCTGAGTGATCAGATCGAGAGCCTTCACAGCGACTTCGTCACGAGAACCATTCCACGGGCTAAAGGGGCCAATACGGTCAGTGGAATAGCTCGACAGATGAACATAAACAATGTCTAACAGAGGGCCTACCAGGTTCCGCCGAAAGCTACGTCCCCTCCGCCCCCTCCACCCCCGGCATTGACTCCCTCCCCACCCCTTGGCGAAGAACTCGGAAAAGAATTAGTCGCCGACAGTTAAGCATTTGCGAACAGAAATAGCCCAACTGCAATTGCAACAAGCTCATAATAAACGGTATAAGGCAACTTCGGCCGCTGAGATCGCCGGGCTAAACGATGAGATCTACCGTTTACAGAAGGAATTGATCACCCTGCGATTTCAAAAAGCCGCGAGCGATCGCCAAATATCAGTCTTTTCAATTCAAACCAGCAAAATAAGCGAGGAGAACGAACGTCTACAGCAGGAGTTGATCAAGCTAGAATTCAATATACAAGAGAGCGGTCGTCAAGCAACAATCTGTCGGTCCCAAAACAAAGAGCTGCGTAAGGAGAATGAGCGTATCAACAAGGATTCAGACAACCTACGATTGGATAGAGATGAGGGTCATCGACAACTAGTGTCTGAAAGAGACAGGCTGCGTGATGACATGGAGCGTTTGCAGAACGAATTGAATGCCGGGGAGCGCGGGGAGATGAGGTGAGACGGTTGAAGGATGAAATAAGAAAGATTCAAGCCGACAAGGAGGAGTTGGAGCGCAACACGAACGCCATGCGTTCACAGCAAGTTGGGAGTGGAACACAAGGAACGTCCCTTGGACCACAAACGCCCCATCGACCAACCTATGGAACACAGGGAACACACCAAGAAACGGCCTCCTATGGAACAAACTATGGAACAAACTATGGAACAAACTATGGAACAAACTATGGAACAAACTATGGAACGAAGCAAGGAACGAATCAAGGAACAGGCCAAGGACAATCCTACACAACGCAGCAAAGAGCGCCTTATGGACCATTCTATACAACGCAGCAAGGAACAACCGAAGACAATCCTATACAGCGCAGCAAGGGAGTTCCTATGGACTAACCCAAGGAACGCCGTAACCAGCACCTCAACAACCACCGCCACCTCAACAACCACCGCCGCCGCCGCCTAAAGAACCACCGCCACCACTGCCCCAAGAAACACCTCAGGCAGCGAACCAAGGAGTGTCCCAGGGAGAGAACAAAGGACCACCTCAGGGAGCGTTCCAAGGAAGATCTCAGGCAACGATCCAAGAAAGCCCCGAGGGAGCGATCCCAGGAACACCTCAAGGGCAATCCATGAGATATCTCAGGGAGCGATCCAAGAAACACCTCAGGGAGCAATTCAAAGAACCCCCCAAGTACCGCCGGCAGTTGAAGACAATAGAAGTCCTGCCGAGACACAAGACTTGCTGCGCAAAATCGAAAGACTGCATACCCAGAGGGACAACGCAGAGCACGAAGTAGCTCGCCTACAGTCACAACATCAAGCTGTTGAATTTTTTAATCAAGAGTTATAGGCCCAATTCGAACGTTTAGAACAAGAACTAGCGGCCGAACGATCAAGGCCGCCTGCCGGAGTCGAGGGAGGTTCCCAAATGACACCCGACGTTGACAAACCAAACCGCACAATCCCCAATCTACAAAAGCAATTATCCGTCGAGCGAGAGGAGAAGGAGCTGAAGGAAGCTCAATACCAGTTCAGAATTCAGGAACTGCAGGATGAAATCAACAGTCTTCGGGACAACGAGCACGAAAGCATCAGCACCGGCTGTCCTCAACCTGAACCTGGCACGACAAGTGTCAACCGGGTCACTGACCAAGAGCTTATTAGCCGTTTCGTAAACCTGCGGGAGGATATCGACAAAGTGATCTGAAACAGGGCTTGGTACGACCTCGAGTCGCCGGCGGTTCTCAACGACCAAGAACAGCAGGATGAATACATGCCAACTCTCTACAGCCACGAAGGCTGGGGCTCACAGCCAGTCTTGGATCGAACCAACACGTAACGTTCGACGTGGTATGAGAAGCTGTTGGATACCATTTTCAGCAGAGAAACTTACGGGCTCGAGGGTATCACAATCGAGTCTGACTCTTCAAACCAGCCGCGTTATGTCGAGTCGGGCTTGGAGGCATTTGAACGTCTTGTCAGCTCGTATAATGGTATGCCTCTTTGTCCCTTGCATTCCATGTCCTTGAATCTAACAACGCTTTCTGTCTAGTTGACCCAGAAAAAGTCCAAGCCTGGCGTAGTGCCATCGTCGCCTGCGTGGGTCAATGTCAGGTGAAGCCAGCGACCCTTAACACAGCTCTCAATACACTCATGGCTGTTTCCAGGCCAGTTATCAGTTCTTCTTTGACCCAGGAGGCGGGGGGAGACTTGACACGGGCCGTCTGGACCCTTGCCGACGACGCCTTCAGGCTCAAGTTGAAGATGCGCATGTACATTCCAGAATGCCACATAAATGAATTTTATGAGGACGACGAGAAACCGCATATGGTTCGGGACCATGACTGGGTAAAACCAGTGGCTATCGTGGGTGCTGATGATGGGCGGCTGCCGACGGAGAGAGATGAGGAGATTTCATACATGATCTTTGGTGCCTTGACGAAGGGATGGGACGATGTGTTGGTGAAGGCACACGTTGCCGTTACTGGTGGAAACGTACAGGCGTCAGAGCCAGAGCCTGCTGCCCGTGATCTACGAGAAGACGACAATTATGACGACTGAAAACATATGCACGTAACGTAGTTGGCAGGAAGTTCTTGTTCCCAATAGATTTGGAGATGGCGCAACTTTTGTCTTTATTGCTGCTCGCCAACAGTTGTGCATTACATGCTCAGAACAGTGCTTTATCGTCCTGTTTGGCGAGAAGGGATGCCCTATTCCCATTCGTAAATACCTGAGTATTCCCTAAATTGCTGATGACACACTCACACCACCCTTTCAAAAGGACCACCCATGGCCAATCTTATCAGCCAAGTCCGCCAAGTCTCAGGGCTGAACGCCAATCTCCTCACGGCTTGTCCCGCACTTTATGCTTGATGAACCTTATGCTGGGCCACTATCTGTCCGCGGAGGATACCGTCCAGTCCACCTAGGCACTTCCTCGTTCGGTGTTTGTATCTGATGCCTGTGCCGCCCGCCACTTCTCACTTGACAGGGTCGATCATCAGCCTTTACGGCATCAAACTCAGGACATGAGTAAGCACCCACTGCAGCATGCATGTCAACACATCTCGGAGGGGTGGTTTCATTGGTCTGACAAAATCCCCGATGCTCACATTTTCTTGGGTGGCTTTATTCAAGTGCATCTGGATTGTCTAAACCTGTCTTGGGGGTCGGAGGGATGGCGGTGGTTATTTTGGACGAAATATATTGGTCAGCTCGTAGAGCAGGCAGAAGGTTTCTTCAGCTGAGCAGGTAGTGGTGGTCTTGTCAGTGCTTACATAGCTACTTGAGCCTCCCACGATGTCAGTTTGAGGGGATTCAGTTCTTCTTTTGTTTCTTCTCAGTTTGATAATCTGCGAAGAGTGCCTGATCTGGCAACTCGCATGTTTCGGCACTTGCATCGAACCGACACACCTACCTACCCGACAGCTTGGGAAGGATTCTCAGATCCACCCGCCCGTTATGGACCAACGAGAGAAAGCTCCCTTCTTGGCCAGCTCCAGGGACATGGAGGAAGCAGCGCAACATGCTGACTCCACCCAGCCGCAACAACAACACCGCCGTGGCCTAAGGAGCACCGTTCGCATCCTAGGAGCAACAACCTGCCTCCTCGTCTTCCTCCTCCACATCCTCCTCCAAGTCCCGCTAACCACCACCAGCACCACCACCACCACCCTCCAGCCCCATCACCACCATGCCTCCAACCCCCCCCGATCCATCACCCACCCCACCATCAAAAAGCGCATCCCGGGCGAACACGTCGTCCTAGCCGACTGCCGCGACCGCAAAAACGTCGTCTCCTCCCAGATGGCCTACTACGTCGGCGACCCCGGCCCCATCCCCGGCGACGTCGCCATAGTAGAGACACCCCCCGGTCAAACCGCCCTCTGGATCAACACCGAGACCTCTGCCCTCTTCTACAACAGCAACGTCACCTTCACCGCCCGGCTCGGCCCCAAGGTAGGCGACGGGCAGTTTGCCGGGATGGGTGACAACGGCTACGGGAATTTTACTTGTTGGCAGAGGTTCAAGTTTGATCTGTATCGCTACAACAATGATACGATTTGCACGGGGGTGTATGCTTGTAATCATGATACTATGCCTGGTTGGTATCCCCTCCCCCACCCCCCATCCCATCTTGATGATTTTCGGGAAGTGTACTGATGGGGTTGGGTTTCAGCGGTGTTGCCTACTCCCGGGGCGGGTTCGAGTCCGGGGGCGGGGGCCGGGGCGGCTCCGGAGGCGGCCCCAAGCGGCGGTCTCCCACAGGGAGCAATGATAGGGATCAATGTCGCCGGTGTCGGGTCAGTGCTTTTTGGGATTGCGATGGGGGTTTTTTGGTGGTACTGGCGGCGGACAAGACAGCGGCAGCAACAACAACAACAACAACAAGGGGACGAGTCGCCTGAGCCAAAGACGGAGAATAATGAAGCGTCACTTCCGCCGCCGACATATGCCTCGGCTGTTTTGCCTCAGTCGCCGGCTGCTGCGCCCAAGTTTGAGCTTGCGGCGGGGACGCTGTATGAGATGGATGGGCAGTGGTACCGCGTGGAAATGGCGACTGATACTTCGAGGTATGAGATGGATGCGCAGAGTGTCAAGAAAGGGGGTGGGGTTGCGAGTGAGGAGGTGGAAAATGAGGAGAGGGAGAGTCCGACTAGTTCTGCGGAGGGGAGTAGTCTGTCAGCGATGACGAGGGGTGATACTGTGACTTCTGTCAACTCGCCGGTTTTGACGCCGGTGAATGCCGAGGGGAGGGTTGTGTCGCCGCCTGTGGCCGGGATGCCGGTGCCGGTGTTGGTTCCTATTCCTGGGCCTGGGGCAGATGATAATGCTGAGAGTGAGGCTCATGGAAAGACTGGGTCTGGTTGATAATGGAAGGCTTGTGTCATTGGGATGGGGAGTACCTCAGGTAGCTAAAAATGAAAATAGGGATCTTGACACCTGCAGAGCACTAACGACATGGACCGTTTCCCGGGCAGACGAGATTACCTTGTCTTTCAGTCCACCTGCTCGAAATTGTTTACTTCGATTCCTCCAATAGTTCAACTACAGCATTCTGCCTCTTTTTGACGGCCCTTCTCTAGAGGAGTTTGGCTGTCTTTGCCACCACGGAGCGATTTATCTGCGCCGCGAGCCAGCAAGAGGCGAACAACGTCAGCATAACCTCCTCCTGCGGCTCCAAAGAGGGCTGTTCTGTGCGACTTGTCCTGTGCGTTGACCTTGGCCCCCTTCAATAGCAAGTCCCTGGCTGTATCAAACCTCCCAGCCCAAGAAGCCCAGCGCAAAGGCGTGCTCCCACCCTGGTCCTTAGCATCGACCTCGGCACCGCGTTCAAGGAGGAGCTTGATCATGGACACATCTCCTGCGTGTGCAATGATATGCAACGCCGTCTCGTTGCGGCGAACCCTGATGGAAACAGGCACGCCAATCTCCAGCAGCTTGCGCACAGTGTTCCGATAGCCTAGCTGCGCCGTGTCGATCAACGCTGCCTGCATGTGTGTGAGGGGGATCACGAGATGGTCAGAGTTCCCCAAGGTGAGCATCTTGAACATGAACTCAAACTCCTTGTGCGCCGAAGCCTCCAAGCGCTGCTCCGGAGCCTTCAGGGCAGCATTCGAGGCTCTCTTTGCCGTCTCTGCCCTGGATTCATCTCTGCCAGCGTGCCGTAACAGGTTAGCTCAGCATGTTGCCCGTCTTAGACTGAGAAACAAGTGCCACAAGAGACAAAGCCTCACTCGAGTTGTGTCAGTTGCAGGCATAGATTCATATTTCCTTGTTGCGCGGCCACCGCGCTCGGCAAAAGTCCAAGGTTGTTCCTTTTGACCACCAGGTGCAGCATGTCCTTTGCCTGCGGCCACTCGGACTCCTGCCATGCAACCTGGTGGATATCGAAACAGTCTAGAGATGCCCCCGCAAGCGCGTGGAAGACTGTATAGCCAGCCATGTTGCCGTCGAACCCCTGACACAGCTGCATGCGGCAGGCTGAGATCTCGGCAGGGCACTGGATCCTGCATAAGGACATGATCATGACGACCTCCTTGGGCCCGAACGGGGTGGACATCGCGGCCAGCAGCGGAAGGTGCTTCGTGACGAAGTATGAGACGACTGATGACACGGTCTTTACGTCGGTGTGGTGTGCGAGGGCTCTCCTTGGTGAGGATGCGGTGCAGAATGGCACCGACAACCCGTATGTCGCCCTTCGAGGACCACTTGGTAATGCGGCCTTCGAAACGCTCCGACTGCTCGGCTATTTCCTGCGCTGAATGTCGGTCATCGCATCCTAGAGAGAAAGCTCTCGGAAGACTGGTATGAATTCGGCCTTACCGGTGCCCAATAAACTCTTGTACCTGCATGGCTTGTTGGCAGCGCGCCGCCATCCTCCAGCTGAAAAGAAGTTCCAGAGTCCCCCAGCCTGGTGACCAGATCGACTTACACCGAGTTTCGGAGTGCGATCAGAACTTTGAAGATGCAGTTAGGCCCCGTTTGAGCTCTGATGGGAGCGAAAGAAGCCGGCCAAGGGAGCTCACCGTTTCCTGGTTTTACATCCCGGTGCAGAATGGTGTGCCACCCTGACGGGAAGCTAGTGTATCCATGGAGAGAGCCGTTGTTCCGAGTTGCCTCGAGTCCGTAATGGCAGCGTGACAAAGCTGATCCCAAGGCCTCGACAAAAGTCCAAGCCACATTGTCTGGAAACATCACACTGTCGAAAGCCGGCAAGGACCGGGGAGTTAGCCGCAGAAACCGGGCAGAGCGACGAGCTCCGTGGCGGCATGACTCACGTGTTCTTTTCCAGAGTTGCCTCCAGTTCCTTGAATTGACAGAACTCGGTGTATATCTCCATCTTGGTGTCGCTGAGTTCGTGATGAACATATTCGATAATGCGGGGATGGTCCAACGTCATGTAGCATCGAAGCTCCATATCTGTGTCCCGTATATGCTTCTCGCGTGCCCTCTGCTGTATCCATGGGGGAAACCGAATGACCTTTTTGGCAAAGTTTTAGAGCTCATCTCCGTCAGCGACCATCGTCACGCAACCACACCAGGCGACACGAACGTTATGGCACAGCGTGCATTCTACCCAAAATACATCCCCATAGGCGCCCCTCCCCATCATATCCCCGGTCTTGGTGCTGCTGGTGAACTCGTGGGGATAGCAACGCCCGTCGGTCCGAGGGTAGTATCTGATCATGGCTTTGCTTCCATCGTCGGTCAGTTTCGCGTCAGAGCGCGAGGATCCATCCTCTGTTGTCTCAGTTGTCTCTTGCGAAGCGTCAAAAGGGTAGCTCGCTATCAATACCATTGACCGTTGATAGCGGCCCCTTTTCATTCATCGTTAGAGTCGATTGGACTGTCTCCACGTAGTGAAACGGGCGCCTACTACCTACCTACCTGGAAAGGTACGTGACCTGTGTGATCGTCGAGATGAGTCCCTTTTCTGGAGCTGCTGAACTTGTGTGCTCTGATGTTCGGTTCCTTTTGTTTTTTTCCTTATACGTCTATTTTGCCTCTCAGGTAGGCTGTGTTGGTTTCTTCCTCGCCTGGCTCTTCCATGGGCTTTTCTTCTCCTTCATCGGTAAGATGAGTTAGTACGCCCCAAGCAATGGCCGAGAGAACTTTCGCTGCTGTCTCCTTGAGCTTCCAGCTCTTTGCTGACTGTATACAAGGCAAGTACTAGCCCTAATTCTCATCTCGGGACTCCCAGATTAGTGGATGGCTGACGGTGGTAGGCCGGAAGGCTCAATGCGTTGGTGGCGTTGCTGAAGCATAGCAAAAACACACGGCTTTTCAATGCGGCGCAGAGCCTCGGCTATCTTCGTGAGGACATCTCCTCTGAGACGACCAGAAAGGGGACCCGCGACTACCGCTATGGCTTCGTCTTTGCCAAGCCCAGGAGGCTTTGATTCGGGAGCCCGGCCGACGTGTCTGCGGGGGTTTCTCTTGATGGACACCCAGGCGCCTCTGAGCATGCCCAGTCTGACAGACAGGGCGGCCCTGGCCCTCGCACTGGCCGAGAGCTTGAGTCGGCTACACGCTGTGAATTGTCTGCACAAGGGGTTGCGAAGCCACAATGTTCTGTTCCTTCCCCGACGCTCACAGTGGCACACCGGGGGCCGTATTTCGACAGCCAGTCATCTCTGGGTTTGAGCTCGCCCAGCCCCAGTTTGAGCCAAGCTGGACATCGCCCAGCTGGCCGAATCCTGCTCACGACCTCTACAAGCATCCGCGCGTGCAAGCGGACTCTGGCCGAGAGCCGAAGACAGCGAGCAAGGCTCCGAGTCGTATAGGAAGGAGCACGACATCTACGCCCTCGGTGTGATTCGGGTTGAGATTGCGTGCTGGCAGCCCGTCCATGCCATTCTGCGGGTTGACCTAGAGCAGGCAAGTCTTAGGGACACAATGCCTGTGAAGAGACGTCTGTTGGAGTCTCACGTCCTGCAAAAGGTTCGATTTAACATGGGAGACACTGTGTGCGATGTGATTAAGGCCTGCCTTAGTGGTTTGGATCTCCCAGAGCCGGGACTCGGCGAAGTCAACCTTGAGAGAGACATGTCTGTTCAAGAACGTTTCTATTCGGAAGTTGTCCAAGAGTTGAAGTTACTCCATGTGTAGGGGGGACATTATTAGCTAAGCTACCCACCTACCTAGACAGAATATCACTGTCCAGGTACTTGTGTGGATGTTCTTGCATGTACGAAAGCCTACATGTACCCGAATCTCGTTCATCCTCATAATGGGCTCGAAGCCTTGGTCAATGGCCACATTGCCGTCTACGCCTCTTTGCCTCATTTGCTATCCATTGGCCCTCGAGTTGCAGAACCCCTTACTCATGTGCCAACGACGTCTGGGCGTTTGGTACACACCTAGCCACGTTTGTGACACTTGCTGGACCTCAAGAGGGGGTACCATCAGCTGATTGCGGCTGGACCCGATCCTCACCAATGCAGGCTGTTGCTAATGCCAAGTCTGGCTCGTGGATGAAAATTTCGGACGTCCAGAAATACACAAGACTGTTCCCGCCGCTTGATCATACCTAACTGATAGAACAATGGGGACCCCTTCCGCTGGCAACGCACCGAGACGGTCTCGATCTGCAGGGCTTATGCCCTTCTTAGAAAGCCTGCTCGAGTCAGAAAAACGGAGCTCCTCAGCACCGAAGGGTAGGCCACGCAGCTAGCTATGGCATCTTTCGTAAAGGACATGTTCGGATTTGCCGCTATGTGCTCCAGAACGGAGCCGATCCCAACGTCCGTGAGAAAATGGACGTAACGCCATTGCTTGATAGCCCGCATGGGGGGTCACCGTGACGCTGCTGAGGTCCTTTTGTCCTGCGGCGCGGATCCGGAACCTCGCAGTTTATTATACTCCACGTCTCTTACCCTGCTGATCTGGCAAAGAGGAAAGAAAGAGCGGGACGAGTCGATGGGCATCATCCAGCTACTGCTCGAAAAAGGGGCCGACCCGAATGGTGCTGATGACGATGGTGATACCTCACTGATTTCATGTTCTGTGTTTCAGCAGGTCGAGGTCACGCAGTTGCTCCTCAAACACGGTGCCCAAGTTGACGTAGCAAACAACGACGGAAAGAAGGCTATCCATGCGGCTGCCACGGAGTGCGATCCGAGAATGATACGACTCCTCCTGGATCATGGTGCGAACCCGGCTCAAAAGGACATCGATGGGTGGAAAGCCCTACACATGGCTGCACAGATGGACAAAAAGGGGACGCTGGAGGTCGTAAAGGTGCTTGTGGACACACGAAGAATAGAAATCAACGACCAAGAGGAGAAAGGGACAACGGCACTATACCTAGCTGTCCAAGCGGGACGTCCTGATGTGGCCCAAGTTCTCCTGGAAGCCGGCGCGGACCCCAATATTACAACCAAACCCGATTTTTGGCCCCTACGGAGGGCCGTCCTAACTTCCAACATGGAACTTCTGAATCTTCTCCTCAGTCATGGCGCAGACGTCAATTTGTCGGATAGCAAGGGCAGAAACATCGTTCACTTCGCTTGCGCACAATCTGATGCCAACATCCTCAAGAGGGTCGTGGAGGCCAGTCCCGATGCTCTTCCGCAGCAGCGTGATGACAATGGAGGAACGCCCCTGCACGTCGCCGTGCAGAACGACAATGAAGAGATTGCCCTAGCTCTGATGGAACTTGGTGGTGCTAGTAAAAGGCAGCGAGCGGAGTAAGGTCATTACCTAGGAATCGAAGTCCCCGTCAAGGATAAGACTTCAACTCAGGTAACTTGGGGATATCGAAGAAACGGCTTGTTCGAAGCCAGTCAACTTCTTCGTGTCTTTTCATAGTGTCTGCGCGTTCATTAGTTTATGTAGGTACCAAGGAGAGACTTGAAGCAAGTTTTTTCCATACTTTTATGCCTTCTGTAACCTCGTCGGGGTGCACTTCTGTGAGTTCTGTGAATTTGCCGGTTTTGATACCGGTAAATGCGGAAGAGAGGGTGGTATCAATCGCCTCCAATTCTGTGGTTGCTCCCACTTCATCTGGTCCCACCTTTTCTGTCAGGCCCACAGGTTGCTTGCTCTGGATTAGGGCTTTTGTTGACCAGTATATCCCACACACTTTTTGTAGCTTTTCTTTTCTCTGTCACATTTCACCATAATCACTTTTTTCTCACAACCTTTTGCCTCACTTTGCGCGCCAGTGATCACTTCCACTGTCCCCTCTTTCTGTGGCGGAGATGCCGGTACCGGTATTGGTCTATTCCTAATCGTAAAATAACAATGAGCGGGATAGTAAGGGGAAGACTGTATCTGGGTGATGGCGGCAGGCCGGTTTCTTTTGATGATGAGTAGATACCGAGGTAGTAGGAGTAAAATCTGTATGCAAGTTCTGACCAAATAATTCTTCCTAACCGTACTTTAGTCAATCTTAACGGCCTATGGCTAGGTACAGGTGAAAGATTGAATTGCCGGATCAAGAAGAAAAAGAAAAGAAAGAGAAAATAGGTATACTGCCCACAGCGTCCTCTTATACCTCTTACATCCTCCGGACTTCCCCTTCAAAGCATACAAAATATCCACCAGAATTATCCGAACTTCCTCGTATCTCTTCCTCGTATCTCTTCCTCGTATCTCTTCCTCGTATCTCTTCCTCGTATCTCGTTTCACCTCCTGGCTCCCACATCAGTTGCAAGCCTCCCACATCAATCGTCAAATAACCCTAACCCGGACATCATCCCATAACAGTCAAGACAGTCAACCGGTCTTCGCTCTAGTAGCCAGACCGCAGCTCTCTTCTAATTTACCTTACCCCGCACTGAAACCCAGCTCGAGGCTGAACCGAATTTCTCCTGTGCTCTTCCCCTGAACCTTTCACCATCTCCCTCGACTCCCACAAACATCCCACAGAACAAAGACTCACCATTTGCTTGCTTCTGAATTGCTACCCATCAGTGACTTAACCATGTCACACCCCCACAGCCGGCAGATATGCACCGACTGCACCGTAATCTTCCAAAAGGCAGGTTCTGTCTTGACATCGGGAATCATCGAAACAGTCTCGTCCCTGCCATTGGATCAGTCATACCGAGACCGAATAATCCGACACGTTCATCAAAACCAATGTGACATGTGCTCTCTCATCAGCAACACCATCCCGGCAATCAATGACCCCCTAGACTCCAAAAGAACAGCAGAGCTCAGGTTTAGTCTGCTGCAGAACAACCCGACGAGTGTGAATCTCAGGCTTTGGGAGTTTTGTGCCGAGGACCAAAAGGCTAGATCTCATGCAGGGGGTTTGAGCATCCAAGATGGTGAGGAACGTGACATCTGTGTGGGTGGAGCTGTGGAGGCTGATACTTGTATGTGTTAGTTCGGAATGGAAGAAGTACCCGCATACTCAGTGCCCCTACTACATGGTCAGCTGAAACGCTGGGCCAGATCAAGGACTGGTTGGAAACATGCCTTTCATCACATGCCCAGTGCGCAAACCGGTCCTCAGGCCGTCTCCCACGGCGTCTGATAGACGTTTGGTCTACCACCGAGCCGCTGCCGAAACACTTTGATCAACTGAGTCTTGAAAACTCTCAGAACATCCGCGTAGTAGTGTCCGAATCTCTGCCCCAAGACACAAAGTACCTCACCCTCAGCCACAGATGGGGCAATCCACCCAAGCTGCTCCTCACCACCCAGACTCAGTTCCTGCTAAAAGAAGACATAGTCCCCCATCTTCTAGCGTGCGACGAAGCAGCGGTATTCCGCCATGCCATCCAAGTCACGCGTGGGCTTGGATTCCGATACATATGGATTGACGCCCTCTGCATCGAGCAAGACAACGGACCAGAGAAAGCAGTTGATATCATGCACATGGACGAGGTCTACACCAATTCATCTTTGAATCTCTCGGCTTCCGTAGCCAGTGTGCCTGACGGGCTAGTCTTTGATCGAGACTTGTCGTCGATCAATCCTTGTCGGGCGACGGTCGTCGTCGAAGCTGGTCAAGAAAGCGTTGCCCTGCAGGCAACTCCCGAAGGGTTTCATTCCTTGCGGGCTGTTGGACCCCTTTACGAACGAGGCTGGGTGTATCAAGAGAGGTTGCTCGCACCGCGCATTGTACATTTCTTGTCGGACCAAGTGTACTGGGAGTGTCATGCTTTGGACGCATCTGAGGTTCTCCCCGAGGGATATCAAGATGGATTGAAGCGCCAGACACGGGGTATGGCGGCGATTACGAAGGGGCTATCTGCTGACGAACTGGAACTGCGATGGTTCCGTCTTGTGGAAGACTACACTGCCACGGCTCTGACATATCCGGATGATCGCCTGCTAGCTGTGTCAGCTTTGGCTAAGCAGTTTTCTTCTGTTGCGAAACGGAACCCGAATGACTATCTGGCTGGGATGTGGAAGGACAGCCTACTGCCTTCGCTGGTGTGGTTGTTAGCTGAATACGAAGAAGGAAGCGAGCCACAACGGTCAACTGATGCTCCGAGGGAAACAGAAGTAGCACCGTCCTGGTCCTGGGCGTCCATCATGGATACAGTATCATGGCCTCAGAGCTCTGAATACACCCGGATAGTGCCTAGTGTCGAGTGGGTGGACGTCGAGGTTGACCGAACATCTCAAAATTTGTTTGACGGCACTAATCTATGTCGACTTCGTCTTCGCGGCCATATGCGCAAGATATGCCGATACATCGAGAACGGACAGCCTTGGATTAGCATTTCAGGAACAGTCCGGTTCCCGGAAGTATTGGAGATTAATGAGGAATTCTTTGACCACCCGTTGGCCTTGAGCTGGGACACGTGTCGAGAGTCGGTTGCGCTTGCACTGAAAGACGACAGTGACGGGCTGCCTGGTCGGACATATTTTCTGCTTCACATAGGCGCGGAGCAGGCGGCGTACTGTGGGGATTGGGAGCCCGCGGCAGAGGAGGGCATAATTCTTGAAAGGACTCCAGAGCATGGAACATATAGGCGGGTAGGGCATTTTCTTGTGCCCTATCTGTCGATCCAGGATTATGAGAGCTTCGAGCTGGCGGGCGCGTTTCATCGAGGCTTTGAAGGACTGCTGGATGAGAATTCGGGTGATTATCACGAGCTGGACCCTGATGGGAGGTGTGTGATCGACATTATCTAAAGCTCTCATGGAGTAGGTGTTGTGTTACAAGAATCGAGGTTGCTTTCAAGTCTCCTTAAGAGGACCCCCATGTTGCGGGGGCGGAGCTCTCAACGGGCGCGAAGTGGGGCACCCTCCCTAGCGCCCGGTGAAGCTCCAGAAGCCTGAATCCACCACCTACAGCACCTTCACATCATACATCTCAACGGGTACTCCACCCCTCACCATATGAGATGGCACGCCCTTCGTCAGACCGGCCTCCATCTCGCTCAAGAAGCCGCTCGCCTTCCCTCGTCAAATCCTCTTCTCACCCTACTCCCCGCCGCGCAATCCGCCCGCTGCTTCTTCTGGTAGCCCTCATCAACCTCTCATGGTCGCTATACCAACTCCCCACCACCCGCGTGATCGAATCCCGGCTCTGTTTTGACCACTACTCCCTCAGTGATCCCTCAGCCGTTCCCCCGGACGGCACCATCCCAGAAGAGCTGTGCAAGCTCGATACCATCCAGCAGCGCTTGGGGAAGTTGCAAGGAGTGATGGAGACCATCTGGGTGGGGGGTGACTTTCTCATGACGATTCCTTTGGTGACGCTGGCGGATCGATATGGGTATGGATTCGTTTTGAGGTTGAACCTGGTCCCCCGCGCTTTTTTGCTGGGGTGGATGCTGTTTGTTGGGTACTTTAGGTGGCTGCCGGTGGAATGGGTTGTGCTTGCGCCAGCGGGGAGTTGGCTGGGGGGTGATTGCGTGTTGAACTCGGTGGTGTATTTTCTGGTGTCGGAGTTGACGGGGGATGTGGTTCTGCGGTGAGTTTTGAGTCGGAATAGTTATGAGAATGGTGACTGACAGAAGTGATAGGGCGACCTTCTTCGCCTACCTCAACGCTACGACTTCCATTTTCTCGAGTCAGCTTGGGCCTGCTCTGGCATCAATGACCATGTCATTCAGGCTGTGGCTACCCTTCGTACTAGGACTTGGTCTATTGTTGATATCGGCACCCCTGATCTCTTTGCTTCCCATAGCGCCTCCCCCGCACC